CCCCGATAAAAACGTGATCCCTGTTTGGGGACATGGGGACGTCACTGTGACGTCGCTGTGACGTGGCTGTGACGTCACAGGACAGCCCGGGGACGCTGGGGACATCAGTGTGACATTGCTGTGACATTGCCATGACATGGCTGTGACAGGCCAGACACAGCTCGGGGACATTGGGGACATCAGTGTGACACTGTGACATCAGTGTGACATTGCTGTGACATCGCTGTGACAGCCCAGACACAGCTCGGGGACATTGGGGACTTTGGGGACATCAGTGTGACATCACTGTGACACGGATGTGACAGCCCAGACACAGCTCAGGGACATTGGGGACATTGGGGACATCGCTGTGACATCAGTGTGACATGGCTGTGACAGCCCAGACACAGCTCAGGGACATTGGGGACACCAGTGTGACATCAGTGTGACATGGCTGTGACAGCCCAGACACAGCTCAGGGACACTGGGGACATTGGGGACATCAGTGTGACACTGTGACATCACTGTGACATGGCTGTGACATTGCTGTGACAGCCCAGACACAGCTCGGGGACATTGGGGACATTGGGGACATCAGTGTGACATGGCTGTGACGTCACAGGACAGCCCGGGGACGTTGGGGACGTTGGGGACATCAGTGTGACATCGCTGTGACAGCCCAGACACAGCTCAGGGACACTGGGGACATTGGGGACATTGGGGACATCAGTGTGACATGGCTGTGACAGCCCAGACACAGCTCAAGGACATTGGGGACATCAGTGTGACACTGTGACATCAGTGTGACATCGCTGTGACATGGCTGTGACAGCCCAGACACAGCTCGGGGACATTGGGGACACTGGGGACATCAGTGTGACATGGCTGTGACACGGCTGTGACATCACAGGACAGCCTGGGGACACTGGGGACAGCGATTGGTGGCATTAAAGGAACAGTGACAGCAGCAGGGTGGCACCGTGTGACACACACAGGTGACACACACAGGTGACAATGACACAGGTGACACAGGTGACACTGACCTGGCACGGCGGGTGGCACTGTCCTGTGCAGCGCTGTCACCGTTGCCGTGGCACACACACACACACACACAGGTGACACAGGTGACACACACAGGTGACACTGACCTGGCACGGCGGGTGGCACTGTCCTGCGCAGCGCTGTCACCGTTGCNGGGGACAGCGATTGATGGCGCTGAGGTTCAGCGACGCCTCCTCCTCGCTCTGACCCCCCGATAAAAACGTGATCCCTGTTTGGGGACATGGGGACATCAGTGTGACGTGGCTGTGACGTCACAGGACAGCCCGGGGACGCTGGGGACATTGGGGACTTTGGGGACATCAGTGTGACATTGCTGTGACATTGCCATGACATGGCTGTGACAGCCCAGACACAGCTCGGGGACATTGGGGACATCAGTGTGACACTGTGACATCAGTGTGACATTGCTGTGACATCGCTGTGACAGCCCAGACACAGCTCGGGGACATTGGGGACTTTGGGGACATCAGTGTGACATCACTGTGACACGGATGTGACAGCCCAGACACAGCTCAGGGACATTGGGGACATTGGGGACATCGCTGTGACATCAGTGTGACATGGCTGTGACAGCCCAGACACAGCTCAGGGACATTGGGGACACTGGGGACATCAGTGTGACATGGCTGTGACGTCACAGGACAGCCCGGGGACATTGGGGACATCAGTGTGACATGGCTGTGACGTCACAGGACAGCCCGGGGACGTTGGGGACATCAGTGTGACATGGCTGTGACAGCCCAGACACAGCTCAGGGACACTGGGGACTTTGGGGACATCAGTGTGACATTGCTGTGACATCACTGTGACATCGCTGTGACAGCCCAGACACCTCTCAGGGACACTGGGGACATTGGGGACATCAGTGTGACACTGTGACATCAGTGTGACATGGCTGTGACATGGCTGTGACAGCCCAGACACAGCTCGGGGACATTGGGGACATTGGGGACATCAGTGTGACATGGCTGTGACAGCCCAGACACAGCTCAGGGACATTGGGGACATCAGTGTGACGTCACTGTGACAGCCCAGACACAGCTCGGGGACATTGGGGACATTGGGGACATCGCTGTGACACGGCTGTGACGTCACAGGACAGCCTGGGGACATTGGGGACAGCGATTGGTGGCATTAAAGGAACAGTGACAACAGCAGGGTGGCACCGTGTGACACACACAGGTGACACACACAGGTGACACACACAGGTGACACTGACCTGGCACGGCGGGTGGCACTGTCCTGCGCAGCGCTGTCACCGTTGCCGTGGCACACACACACACACACAGGTGACACAGGTGACACAGGTGACACTGACCTGGCACGGCGGGTGGCACTGTCCTGCGCAGCGCTGTCACCGTTGCCATGGCACAC